GAGCAGCAGGATTTCCCACCCCTGGAAAAGCCCCCACCTCACCGCACGACCCGCACCCGGGAAAGTAGGGAAAAATCACCTCCGGGAATCGCCTGTGTTACTTAAAACTGAGCAAAACTCACTCACCAAGTGCTACTTCGGGATGAACACACGCTGCCAACTCCCGCCGGCGCCCCCGGCCCCGCTCGCACCGCCCCACCCACGACAGATCCCTGCTTTGCCCAGCTCTGGATCCCCAGCACAAGTTCAGTCCTCCCTGGCGTTCCCTTCCCTCCCAGAGTTACAACCTCCCGGCCAAACCTCTTCCCAGGAAGAGCCCCAGGCCTGCTGATCTGCCCCGCAGCCGCTCCAGTGCTGGGATTCTGGGGATAACCCAGCGGGATCAGGCCCCATCCTCCCAATTTCCTGCAGTGCTCACCCTGAGCCTTCCACAGGGTCCTGTCCAGGGGGGTCTGGGGCACCCCAGAGTCCCCGTATTGGGGTTCCCTCACTCCCAGCAGGATTGTCCCGTGTGCCATCACTGTGGTTTCCAGGCTTTTCGCTGCTGTGAGGCAGCTCAGGGGGGTTGGATCCCCTCTGGAAGAGCAGGAAGCCCATGGGATGGGGTGTGGGGAGGGATCGGGGTGCAGGAAAGAGCAGAGAGACCCCTGGGTTACCAGACCCCCACAGCCAACCTGAGCCTGGAGGTTGGGAAGAGCCTTTGCCCTGCCCAGTGTCCCCCCCGGGTTCCCATCCTGCTCCCGCAGGGACTGGGGGGACCAAGGGGACACCCTGAGCCCCCAAACCCCCTCTGTGCCCCCAGCCCTGTCCCCAGGGGGGCTGTTCCTCACTGCCACTGATTTTAAGGCTCTTTGAGGCCATTTTTGTCCCCGAGCCTGTTCCCCCCGGGTGACCCCCCAGGAACAGCTGTGTCACCTCCCCGGGTGGCACCACCACACCCGGGGGCGTTCCTGAATGACAGCACTGCCACACAGCCCAGCCCCGGCCCGGGGGCTTTGTCACCCCTCTGTCCCTGAGGGACTGTCCCTGGGAGTTCTGTCATGCCTTTGTCCCCAAAGGTTTGTCCCCAGGGCCTTTGTCACTCCTTTCTCCAAGGGCCACGGGCTTTGCAGAGGTGACAGGGATTGATTTCCCCGTCCATGGAATTCCAGGGCTCTCGGGCAGGGAGGGACTCGGTGCCCCAGCAGGGACAAAGGCTCCCGTGCCACCATCATCCCACGGCGAGGGTCCCTCCCGGCTGCTCAGCTGGAAGGACACGGATCTGAGCTCACATCCCAGGGCCACCCTTGGGATAACGCCCCCATCCTGGCTCCCTCCCCTCGCTCCAGCAAGGCTCGAGGTGGGGGTCTCTCCAGGGAGGGCAGGGATGGGATGAATCCCTGGCTCGGGGCTGTGCTGTAGAACAGAGGCTGATCCCCTCGTTGGCCGCGGGGAGGGCGATCCCGGGGATCCAGCGGGATCCAGAGCCCCTTTTCCCACCTGGGGCTCCCGGCGGGGCCCTGCCGCGGGACTTGGGGGGGGTGAAGCCCCGGGAATGGCCCCGGGAGGAGGCCGGGATGGGGGATATCCCCGCGGGTGACAATCGCGGCCGGGAGCGGTGGAACGCCGGTGTAAATAAACAAATAAACCCCGTGTTTGGAACCGGCAGCGCCCGGACACTGCGGGGAGAGAGGGGGGTCCCGGGCTCGGGGGGTGGGATGGACATGGGATGGGGTGGGGATAAAGCTGGGGATGGGGGTGAGATGGGGGGGGATGGGGATACCAGGATGGGGAGGGGGGTGGAGCTGGGATGGAGTTGGGAATGGGGATGAGATGGAGCTGAGGATGGGGAGGGAGCTGGGATGGAGGTGGGGGTGGGGATGGAGCTGAGATGGGATAGAGGAAGGGATGGGGATGGAGCTGGGGATGAGGTGGAGCTGGGATGGGATGGGATTGGGACAGGGATGGGGATGGAGCTGGGATGGGGGGGGGATGGGTCTGGGGATAGAGATAGGGCTGAGGATGGTGTGTGGACGGACAGGGGGATGGAGTTGGGGTGGGACAGGGCTGGGATGGGATGGAGGTGGGGATGGAAGTGGAGCTGGGGCTGGGCCTGGAGTCAAGCCTGTTTATTGTTACCCACAGAAATGTTAACGCTTGAGAACCCTTAAGGGTTCGCCTGGGGGTCTGGAAGACACCTCTGGAACTGCTGCACAGTCTCTCCTCCCCTTCTCTTTGAGGGGACAGATGCCAAGTTCTCCTTGCAAGTTTGAAGGGCTGCCCTGACCAGGGAAATTCAGGCCTTGGCTCCTTTCTGGGTGCAGGGGGGACAACCGGAGATGTGCCGGTACCTAGACAAGCACTGCCACATTCCACATGGATGTTGGCTTTCTATGTTTCCCTTGTGTTTCCCAGAGGATGCAGCAGCTGGATCAACACTTGGGTGTTCCATTAAAACACAACACTTTCTGTCTCAGAGCAGGGAGTTGAACTTCAACAATAGGGATGTGCAACTTCAAATTTTGTCTCTCCTCTGCAGCAGGAGAGGAGTGTGACAGCAGGAGTTGTGCTCATCTAATTAGGTGGATTCTCAGGTACAATCTGGGGGAAATCAGGCCAGTCACAAAATTGGTTTTGCTGAGAAATTGCTGCTTCCCACAATTTATCTCAGTTCCGTTTGTAGAAGATGCTGCCGATCAGAAACAGGAATTCTTTTCTGATCTAAAACAAGTCTCTTAGTTCATATCCAGAACTGAAAAGCCCTCCCAGAGTGATGGAGGAACCTGCAGCCCGTGACTGTACCCACAGCCTGTGACCTGTCACAGCCCCTGCAGGGAACAGCCTGGGGGGAGTGGGAAGGACCAGACCTATGGCAGGTCTAACATTCACATTTTAAAGCAGATCTGCATTTGCCAGCCGGGATAGGATTGGAGCTATGGCAAGAAGAGACACTTTGGTAGGACAAGAGAGGCTCCAGCCAGGTACAGTTTTGAGGGAGGAAAATTTTCTGTTAAACCTTTAATAAAAAAAAGGACACTAGTGCAGATACTGAATCTGCTTTACACAGTATTACTTGTCTGGAACCAGACTACAGGATGAATTATTGCAATCATCTGAATATATAAATGCTGGGCTAAGCCAGAAATACCACGGCCCCTGTTCAAACAGTCCTTTCCCAAAAGGCCATTCTCCCACACCCCTGCATACATGCAGGCTGTTAAAATTGTTTGCAGAGAGGTATTTTCATCCAGCTTTTGAATCAATCAGCCAACTTTAATCTCCAAGAGGAATTTTAGGCAACTATCTGTTTGCAAAGCAGCATTTTATTAATAAAAAGAATTATGAGCAGTAAGAAGCCTGAAGAAAACCACTGTGATGAAGCTGCAGTTACAGGCAGACTCTTCCCTTCCTTGGCCTTGGTATAAAATCACAGTAAGAAAAAGCAAGACAAAATTAGTGGGGTCTGTTTTCACCATCTACCTGGTGGTGACTCCCATTCAGGAGAACAGAAGCCACTGCTGATCATGGCAGAGTCCTTCCAAAGTGTTAAAAGGGGTCATTTAAGCTCCTCTGAAGGTGCAAGAGTAACAAAAGCTTATCCATGGTGCTCTTTTCTAATCTTCTGCTTGAAGGAGTAACGAACTAGAAGCTCTTCAGCCATGCAGCTGCTGTGAAAGAATGGTGTGAGGACAGGAAAGCTGCCACGAAGAAGAGAGTCTGTGGGGGATGCTGGAAAGGTGAGAAGCAACAAAATTGACCTTTCTCAGCATTCTAACATCAATATATTGAATTTTCTTGCCAAAATTCTTGCCAAAGTTATCTAATGGGGAAAAAAGGCTTTTTTTTCTTTTCTTAAATACAACTGTAACTTAAGCCAGCAGTTAAAAACATCACGCTCATATCCCAATGACTGTTTATACTCAATTTTGTTAACAGTTGTGAGAAGGAAAACCAAGTTAAAAGCACTTTTTGGTGTGAAGGAATACAGGGCTGGCTCCTTTTCAATGGAAAACTTCTTAGTTTACTGCCCTGAGACAGGACGAGTTCAGGAACTCAAATAGAAGAGGCTACAGCACTCAGCCTGCAATGAGGGTTTATTTTCTGAGCAGAAGTGCTGTGCTCCCTAGCTTAGCACCTCATAGACTGTGCCAGAATTTTGCAGGAACTTCCTGAGCTCTCTCCTCTCCCCTTCCCTTCCCTACCGTGGTGGGTTGACCCAGGCTGGACACCAGGTACCCACTAAAGCTGCTCTGTCACTGCCCTCTACAGAGGAGAGAAAATATAATGAAAGGTTCATGAACTGAGATAAACACCAGGAGAGATCCCTCACCCATCACCGTCACAGGCAAAACAGACTCACCGGGGGGACAGTAACTGAATTTATTAACAACAAAATCAGAGCAGGAGAACGAGAAGTCAAATCAGTCTTACCTGCCCTCCTTCCCGGGCTCTCCCTTCACCCCCTCCAGCAGCACAGGGACACGGGAATGGGGGTCACAGGCAGGTCATCACAGCTTGTTCCTGCTGCTGCTCAGGGGACGAGCCCGAGTCCAACCCCTGCTCCAAGCTGGGCCCCCAAAGGCTCCCAAGTCCTTCCAGCAAACCTGCTCCAGCCTGGGCTCCTCTCTCCACCAGGACCCTGCTCCAGCCTGGGCTCCTCTCTCCACCAGGACCCTGCTCCAGCACGGGCTTCCCAGAGGGTCACAGTCTGTGTCGGGCATCCCCTGCTGCGGGTGGGCTCTTCAGGGCTGCACGTGGATCCCTGACCCACCCCGACCCTCCACGAGCCGCAGGAACACCCCTGACCCCCCCCGGCCATGGCCGGGCCGCGGGAGCAGCGCCCGGCGGAAGGAAATGGCTCCGCCGGCCCGTCCCCCTTCCCTCCCCTTCCGTCCTCTCGCTCTCCAGGCTCGGGGGCGGGCGGCCCGATGTGGTGCTGACCTGCTGCTGCAGGACCCGCTCCCGCTCCTCCGGCTCCTGCTCCCGCCCCGGGAGTGAGCGCGGTGCGACCGCGAGCGCGGGGCTGAGGGGCGGCCATGGGCCGCAGCCGCTCCCGGTCACCGCCGCGGCGGGGTGAGGGGAGACCCGGGGAGAGGGGAGTGAGGGGAGACCCGGGGAGAGGGGAGTGAGGGGGGACCCGGGGAGAGGGGTGAGGAGGGACCTGGGGTGAGGAGTGAGGGGGGTCCCGGGGTGAGGGGGAGTGAGGGAAGATGAGGGGCGAGGGGGAACCCTGGCGGGACCCAGGGGGGTGACGGGACTGGGGGGGTCGGGGTGAGGGGGCTGGGGGAGGACCCGGGCTGGGGCTCGGGAGGGGCCGGGCCGTGCAGGGCAGTTGGAAGGGCCAGGGCCGGGGCCGGAGCGGGGCCTGGGGCAGCCCAGGGTTGGAGGGGTCCGGGGGCTCCCCAAAAAACCCTCCAGGGCAGGGGCGGCGGTGAGGCCTCGGCTCCTCGCTCTGGGCAGAGCAGAGACTCCCTCCCTCCTCATCTGCTTTCTCCTTCTCTTCTTCCTCCTTCTTTATTTTTCCTTCTCCTCTTCTCTTCCTCCTCCTCTTCTCCTCCTCCAGACCCCTTCTCCCCTCCTCAGCTTTTTGGGGCCCATCACCCAACAGCTCATCCCCCCAGTCCCGGGTGATTCCCCCCTCCCGAGTGGAGGCTTTTCCTGCTGTTCTTCCCACTCCTAGGGGTGCCCGTGGGGGTCCCTGAGCCCAGGACTGTGCTGGGGGGGGTCAGGGAGGGCTGAGAGGGGCTGTCCCGGGGGGCTGGGACATGGGACATGGGGACATGGGACAGGGAATGTGGGGGTCCCTGGGCCTGGGGGTCGGGGAGGGACTGTCCCGGGGTCTGTGCTCGGGAGCCGGGATTTTCTGTCCGGGTTTCCTTTGGGAGGTGGGCAGGGAAGCAGGAGCTGACCCTTCCCTGGGCAGAGCGCCGGCGCTCGCGCTCCACGTCCCGGGACAGGGACAGGCGGCGGCGGGAGCGATCCCGGTCCCGGGACAGGGACAGGAGGAGGAGCCGGTCCCGCTCCCCGCACCGGAGACGATCCAGGTGAGGGCTGGGACATCCAGGTGAGGGCAGAGGCAATTCAGGTGAGGGCAGGGACATCCAGGTGAGGGCAGGGACCATCCAGGTGAGGGCAGAGGCAATCCAGGTGAAGGCAGGGACATCCAGGTGAGGGCAGAGGCAATCCAGGTGAGGGCAGGGACCATCCAGGTGAGGGCAGAGGCAATCCAGGTGAGGGCAGGGATGATCCAGCTGAGGGGAGGGACATCCAGATGAAGATGAGAATGATCCAGGTGAGGGTGAGGATGATCCACATGAGGATGGGGACCATCCAGGCCAGACAGGGACACCAGTGTGTGGTGGGGACAGCCAGGTGAGGGCTGTTGGGTGCCATGGGGACAGTGGGAGCTCCAGGTGGGAAATCCAGGTGGGAATTGCAGCCCCACTCCGTGTGCCCCAGCAGGTCCCCACGCCGGCACCGCTCCAGCTCCTCGTCACCAGTGCGGCCCAAGGAACGCCGGGATGAGGAGAAGAAGGAGCTCAAGGACTCCAAGAAGGAGAGACAGATCACAGGTGAGGGGGGGATTTTCCTCCTGAAACACTCCCACATCCCCTGTGAGACCAGCCCAGGGATACCGGGATTTTCGGGAATCCAAACACCCGTGTTTGCCCAATCCCTGATTTCATTCCCTCAGAGGAGGATCTGCAGGGCAAGACAGAGGAGGAGATCGAGATGATGAAGATGATGGGCTTTGCCTCCTTCGACACCACCAAGGTGAGTGGGGGGCCTGAGGCCACTCCTGTGGGCTCTGCAGTGTCACCCATCCTGTTTGGGGACAATCCATGGGATTTGGGGAATGTTTCTCCTCAGGGGAAGAAGGTGGACGGTGCTGCCAATGCCTACGCCATCAATGTGTCCCAGAAGAGGAAGTACAGGTGTGTCCCACCTTTTCTTGGGATAGAGAAAGGATTTGTTTGGTGAGGTAACTGTGGCCACTGCCCTTGGGGTGATCCGGCTTCCAAGCCTTGGGAAAATGGGAATTCTGTGAGGTTTAGAGGTGAGAACAGAGGTGAGAGGCGTTTGGATCCCCCTGGGAATGGGGAAATCAGGGGGTGGGGGTGAGGAGCATGTTGGGAACGGGTGGGATGTGCCCAGTGTGGCCTGAGTGGGACTGGAGCAGTGGGAAGCAATGCTGTTCACCTGGTTTATTCCCAAAGAACACCCAATTTATCAGTTCTGATCCCTTTTTGATGGGAATTTGAGGGTAGAGCCAGGCTGTGCTGCCAGGATCCTCACACAGCCCTACCTCTGGAGCAGCTCCTCACTGGGAGCCTTCCTGGTTTTGGTCAAATCCATGAGGAATGGGGGTTCCCTGTAGCTGTCAAGCCCTGTTCCCAGCCTCCCCAGGGTGTTTTTGTCCCTATTTCCCCGGATCCAGGGGCTAACTCTGGCTCCATCCCGGCCCAGGCAGTACATGAACAGAAAAGGAGGATTCAACAGGCCCCTGGATTTCATCGCCTGACTGGGGGACACGGCCCCCACTGCGGAAGGATTTTGCTTCCCTGGAGGGATCTGGTGCCGGATTCCAGCGGAATTTGGGTTATTCCCAACAAACCCCACGGCCGGAGCTGCCCCAAGTCACCGTTTCCCAGACTTTTGGTATTATTTTTGTACAAAGAGGTCGGTTCCTGGCTGGGATTTTGCTGTGTGTTCCCTAGTTTTGCTTTGTTTCCCTGTTAAAAAAACCCAGATCTGTTTTTTCCTTTAATTTTTATCATTCAGGGATGAGGAGAGGTCGCTGCAAACCTCTGGATTTACACCCAAAATGCAAAATTTAAACCCAATTCTCCCTCACACAAATCCTTGGGAATTAATACAAATCGGTTGAATCCCGAGGGGCCCCATTTGAGCCCTGGGCTCAAACTGGAGGTCCTGGAGGCGGGGAGGGCTCTTTCCCATCACCTGCCCCCCTAGGGGAGCTGTGGGATCTGGGTGCTCCCAGTTTGGGGAGGTTTTGGGTGCTCAGAGCCCTGTCTGGGGTGGGTGTGCCCTGCCCCGGGGGGGTCCCTGGGTGGTTCCTGATTTGGGGGGGCCCTGCCTTGGGTAAGGGGGGGGCCCAGCGTGCTCCCTGCTGTGGGATGGAGGGGAGGCCCTGCCTGGGATGTCACTGCCCTGGGCTGGGGGTCCTTCCCAAGGCTGGGGGGGGAGCTGCCTGCAGGGGGCTGCCCCAGGGGGGCCCCTGCCCTGCACTGGGGGTCTGACCCCAAAGGGGGTTCCTGCACTTAGGGGGTTCCTGTCCTGGGGTGGGGGTCCCAGCCCTGAAGGAGATGCACTTGGGGGGTCCCTGCTTAAAGGGACTCACAGCCCTTTGGGTGGGTGGTCCCTGCCCTGGGTGGGTATCCCAGCCATGAAGGGGGCGCCCTGAGGGTCCCAGGGATCCTTCCTCTGTCCTGGGGAGTGTCTGTCCCTGCCCCGGCGGTCCCTGTCCCAGGGGTTTCCTGTCCCTGTCCTGGAGGGAGGTCAGTCCCTGTCCCGGGGGGTCCCCGCGGGTCTCACGTTGCCCCCCTCCACCCAATCCGAGGCCCCGCCCCCTTCCCATCCGGCCCCGCCATTGGCTGCGCGGCAGGAAGTGAGTCAGGCGGCAGCGCGTGCGGCGACGGGGCGGGGCCGTTGGGTGGGCAGACCAATGGCAGGAGGGCGTGGCTCTCTCGCCCAATCACAGCGGGAGGGGGGCGCGGCCCTCGGGCGCCGCCACGCCCTATCACCGCCATTCGTGCGGGCGCTGGGCGGGGCCTCCCTTAACGCCCACCAATGAGCGACCGAGATGGGCGGGGTCTCCCTCAGCGTCGACCAATAGGCGTTGCCGGGGGCGAGGCCCGAGCGGGGCCTGGCGGAGCGGCCGCTCGGGGCGGGCAGAGGCCGCCGCGCTCCCCCCGCCGCCGGACCGGCCCGTCCCGGCCCCGCCATGGCCGCCCCCCCCCGCCTCGGCATCCAGATGCTGCTGGAGGCCGCCGAGTTCCTGGAGCGGCGGGAGCGAGGTACCCCATACACACACCTCCTCCCCTCCCCGCGCTGCCCCCGGTGCCCCCGGGCCGGGCNAATTCTCCCTCACACAAATCCTTGGGAATTAATACAAATCGGTTGAATCCCGAGGGGCCCCATTTGAGCCCTGGGCTCAAACTGGAGGTCCTGGAGGCGGGGAGGGCTCTTTCCCATCACCTGCCCCCCTAGGGGAGCTGTGGGATCTGGGTGCTCCCAGTTTGGGGAGGTTTTGGGTGCTCAGAGCCCTGTCTGGGGTGGGTGTGCCCTGCCCCGGGGGGGTCCCTGGGTGGTTCCTGATTTGGGGGGGCCCTGCCTTGGGTAAGGGGGGGGCCCAGCGTGCTCCCTGCTGTGGGATGGAGGGGAGGCCCTGCCTGGGATGTCACTGCCCTGGGCTGGGGGTCCTTCCCAAGGCTGGGGGGGGAGCTGCCTGCAGGGGGCTGCCCCAGGGGGGCCCCTGCCCTGCACTGGGGGTCTGACCCCAAAGGGGGTTCCTGCACTTAGGGGGTTCCTGTCCTGGGGTGGGGGTCCCAGCCCTGAAGGAGATGCACTTGGGGGGTCCCTGCTTAAAGGGACTCACAGCCCTTTGGGTGGGTGGTCCCTGCCCTGGGTGGGTATCCCAGCCATGAAGGGGGCGCCCTGAGGGTCCCAGGGATCCTTCCTCTGTCCTGGGGAGTGTCTGTCCCTGCCCCGGCGGTCCCTGTCCCAGGGGTTTCCTGTCCCTGTCCTGGAGGGAGGTCAGTCCCTGTCCCGGGGGGTCCCCGCGGGTCTCACGTTGCCCCCCTCCACCCAATCCGAGGCCCCGCCCCCTTCCCATCCGGCCCCGCCATTGGCTGCGCGGCAGGAAGTGAGTCAGGCGGCAGCGCGTGCGGCGACGGGGCGGGGCCGTTGGGTGGGCAGACCAATGGCAGGAGGGCGTGGCTCTCTCGCCCAATCACAGCGGGAGGGGGGCGCGGCCCTCGGGCGCCGCCACGCCCTATCACCGCCATTCGTGCGGGCGCTGGGCGGGGCCTCCCTTAACGCCCACCAATGAGCGACCGAGATGGGCGGGGTCTCCCTCAGCGTCGACCAATAGGCGTTGCCGGGGGCGAGGCCCGAGCGGGGCCTGGCGGAGCGGCCGCTCGGGGCGGGCAGAGGCCGCCGCGCTCCCCCCGCCGCCGGACCGGCCCGTCCCGGCCCCGCCATGGCCGCCCCCCCCCGCCTCGGCATCCAGATGCTGCTGGAGGCCGCCGAGTTCCTGGAGCGGCGGGAGCGAGGTACCCCATACACACACCTCCTCCCCTCCCCGCGCTGCCCCCGGTGCCCCCGGGCCGGGCCCCGCGCTGACCCGCGGCCGCCGTTGTGTCTCCACAGAGGCCGAGCACGGTTACGCCTCGCTGAGGCCCGGCGGCAAGGACGGGGAGGCCTCGCGGCGCCGCGCCAAGGCCCGCAGGAGCAGCAGCGGCGGCAGGTGACGGCGGCACCGGGAGGGGGCGGGGGGGGCCGGACCGGGCTCGTTGTGGGGCTGCCGGGCAGGGCCGGGGGCCTTCTGACACCGGGGGACCGGGCCCGTGAGGCCCCGCTGCCACCGGGAGTGTGCCAGGGCCGGGGTGACCCTCCAGGCCCCGGTGAGGCCCAGCTGTCACGGGGCTCCCGGCAAGGCCGGGAGGACCCTCCTGTCACCAGGGGACCGGGCCCGTGAGGCCCCGCTGTCACTAGAGGTGTGACAGGGCTGGGAGGGCTCCTGTCACCGTGGGACCGGGCTCTCCGGGGTCCCCCCACTGTCACTGGGAGTGTGACCACGTCAGGGAGACCCTCCTGTCCCAGGTGCTTGAGGACGGTCCTGGTGTCACTGGGGGTGTGACAGGGCCGGGGGGGCTCCTGTCACCGTGTGTCTGGGCCAGGTGAGGCCCCACTGTCACGGGGCCTGTGGCCAAGCTGGGGTGACCCCCTGTCACCAGGTGACCAGGCTCTGGTTGGGTCCCCCTGTCACCAGGTGTGTGACAGGGCCGGGGTGACCCCCTGTCACCGTGGGTTTGGGGTACTGTGAGATCCTGCTGCCACCAGACACGTGGCAGGGCCGGGGTGACCCTCCTGTCATGGGGGTGCTCAGTCCCTGGTGTGTCCCTCTGTCCCCGGTGTGTGACAGGGCCGGGGGGACCCTCCTGTCACTGTTTGCTCAGGCTGTGGTGAGGCCTGTCTGTCACCAGCTGTGTGACAGGGCTGGGTGGGGCTCTGGTGCCACCAAAGTCCTGCTGTCACCGGGTGTGTGACACCGTGGGCGGGACCCTCCTGTCCCCGGGTGACCGGGGCATGGTGAGGCCCCGCTGTCACTGGGTGTGTGACAGGGCTGGGGGGACCCTCCTATCACCAGGGGACCAGGCCCAGTGAGGTCCTGCTGTCAGAGGGCCCCTGGCAGGGCTGGAGGGGACCCTCCTGTCACCTCCTTAATTATCCACCCTGAAATCCACCCAGAGCCTTCCTATTGTTGCTCCCTGGTTGTTCCTCCCTGTTATCCCTGCCTGGTTTTTTCTCCCCGTTATCCCTCCCTGGTTGTTCCTCTCCGCTGTCCCTCCCTATTATTTCCTGCTGATTTTCAGTCCTAAACCTGAAAGTCCTAAACCACCTTTCCTACAAGTTGAAATCAGCTCCACGCACCCACGTTGAGTTTTAGGAGCAAATCCCACCATCCCAGGAGCAACAGGAGTCGCCCTCGTGCTTTATTCCTTCGCTTTAACAACCCGAAATTCCCTCGGATCGCGGATCGCCGTGGAGGGGGAATGATCAGCTGGTTTGGGAAGGGCTGGCTCCGGGCTGTGCCTCCAAGCCCAGGGAAGCTCCGAGGGGCAGCGGGTTCATCCCGACACGTCACTGGCGCCGGACGGTGCCAGGGAGGAGCCAGGCGGGGATGGCACCACGTCTGTCACTTCTTTCCTGGTCGGGAGCAGCCCCGTCTGCGTCGACCTTTGGCAGCCGCCAGAACAAATCCACCTGGATGTGCACGTGCCATGGTTCCCGGGGTTCTCCCGGGGTTCTCCCGGTGCCCTGTCCCGCCCACACAGGTGTCCCGGGCTGTCAGGGGGGTGGGAGGCAGCTGAGGCCTCGGGCTCTTGTTTCAAACAGGCTCCAGGTGAATCCGGGGGGTTGTCCTGCCTGGACTTGCTCCAGGTTTCCCTCTCGGAGGATTTTGTTCACTTCAGGCCAAGCTGTTATGGTTTTTTCAGGGAAAAAAACCCCCACATTCCGAAGGGAAAGCTGGTGATCAGCCAAAGTTTTAATTAGTGGGAATTGTAATCAGGGACTCCATGGGTATGAAATTGTTCTGGAAAGGATCTGGGAGCACGTGGATATGTTCCATCTGCTCCAGGGTGAAGCTGTCATCCCCTCTGTCCCTGTTTATTTTATCCAAAATTAAAATTCATCGACTATTTGATATTTTCCTAAATATTGGTGATGGTGAATGCAAAGCAAAAGAGAAAACAACCATTCCAGGAAAGATTCAGGTGGAAGAGAGGGTGGGTTTATAATTAGTGAGGGTGATGGGAGCTTCATCCCTGTTTGTACTGTGGTTGGGAAGTGTTTGGATAAGTTAGGATCAAGGGAATAGCTGCAGCCTGTCACAGCCCTGTGGTGAAGAGCTGGGGGTGAAACACGTGGATTTATTGGCTCAAACATTTTTGGGGCTGTGAGGGCCGTGGCTTTTGGGAGCTGATGGCACTGGGAAGCCAACAGAGCCTCCGGAGCCGGGTG